ATTTTTAACGTCGTTTGCCCGACGCAACTTCCTCATACGCTCTCAAATAGCAAAGACTACAGTGGTGCATTAATAATCAATGTCTCCAGCTTCTTCTCAACAAATGTCATTAGGTGTCGCGGATCTTTAAATTCTTCAGTCCACGTAGGCAGTAGTATATGGTCTTCATAACCCTCATCAGCGCAGAAGTGAAGTATGAAACTCTCACCCTCTTCAGGTGGATAGGGAACATGAGTGAAAACTTTGATTACTCTAGGCATCACCGGAAGCTCAAAACATGTCTCCAAGCAAGGAGTAAGAGCAACACCGTAATCAAACTGCACCATAGAAAAGTCTTCTTCTTCCTCACAAATATCATGAACATTCACAACCTCTCCTCCGGACTCTGTATCACTCCCCATGAAGGCATCCCAACTCTCGTAAACATCGTTCTTATCAATAACTTCCCAGATGATGTTGTCATTCTCCACACAAAAAGGAATATCGTCATCAAGGAGTGAATCAAAGAAGTCCATATCTGAAACCACGTAAAAGTGGACCGGTGCATGTGTACAAGAGGTCGGGGGAATTCTTGCTTGTGGAGCGGGACTTCTTCATTATGAACATCATGTAACTCGCCCTCACTCTCTTGGAGCATGTAATCATCTTTTCCCAACTCATCTTCAATACCCAAACCTACCTCAGTAGCACCATCATCATGATTGATCTTCTCCTTGCCCTCCTCAGGTGTTGAGACTAATGATAGATCAAACGGCTGGGGGGTTTCTGTATGAAAATCACAATGATTTAAGACTTCATCAGTTACAACTTGTACCGTTTCGAACTTTTTCCTGTATTCTTGGAAAAACAACTTGACACTATTATCTTCTTCTTCATCTCCAAATATAGGAGGGTCTTCAAAAGCATCAGGAAGTGTATCATCCATCATATTCCCACCTTCGCAGTCCGACTCACTCACATGATCATCTCTATTGGTCTCCTCAGGTTGGACTTCTGTGTCGCTAGGATGGGATCTCTCAGACTCCTCAGATAAAGCCTTTGCAATCTGCCCCAATTGATTCTCCATGTTTTGCATCTTTGAGTCTGCTTGCTGTTGAATTTGCATTTGTTGCTGTTGAAATTGCAATAATTTCTTGAGTGTTTCTTCCAAGCTAGAAAGTCTCTTTAAATCTGCCTCCTCCAGATCCTCTTGTTGATTATGAGTCTCATTACTCGGGAAGTATGTAGGAGTGGCTGAAACATTTGTGTCTGTAAGTTGTGGGGAGGACGAAGTGGGGTATGCAGTTGCCTAATAAGGATGGTCATATGGAGGTTTAATGGGGAAAAAAGATATATGGTGACATCCTCCACAGAAGGAACAAATCTTATTCTTAGGCAGACAAGGTTGCGTGGTTGGAGGGTATGAATAAGGGAACTGATAATTTTGTGGTGTAAGAGAGTAATTTTGATGAGGTGTGTAATATTGAGGAGGATGAGGAGGAGGAGGAATGTAAAGAGAGTATGGCGTATATGGTGAATATTCCATGGAGGTTTGAGGGTAAGGAATTCCCCCAGGAATTTGGCTGAATGGGTTCATCTTATGTCTCTTAAAAAAATTACCTGAAAGGTTAGCACTGAAAAATCCTACGAAGAACAAAAAGAAAACTAACTAAAAAAAATCTCGCTGAAATTAATTAACCCTTAAAACCGACACCGTCCCCAACAACGGCGCCAAAAACTGATGTGAGTTTTCTCGCACTTAAAAAGATTGTAATATAGTGGTGTAAGTACGAGTATCGTCTCTGATGGATAGTCTACCCCGGGGGTATCTTATCCGAGGGGTTATTGCGGGAATAACTAGAGAGAAGTCAGAGTAAATAGGAGGAGAGAGAGTCGATTTTATTAAATGAACTCGAGATGTGGAGTTGGGATGTAGATCATGTCTTACAAGGAGAAATGGGCTGCTATTTATAGCAGCAATAAATGTGATGAGGGGACACGTGTCAGTAATCCAACGGCCGAAGGGTCACATCAACCGGTAGGCACCGGCAGAGGTACGTTTACCGCATTGAATGCGGCTGGCGGATGTGACGTGACATTAAATGCGGTGGTTGGCTGTCTCCAAAAGGAATCTTCGATGATTGAGCGTGTCTGGCCGGAGGCTCCTGGTGTAGCCGAGGGCTCCATGTGACCAGGACCCCTGTGTAGCCGAAGGCCTCATGTAGCCGAAGGCCTTATGTGGCCGAAGGCTATGATGCCGAGGGCATCACAATGCCGAAGGCTCACGTTTTTTGCCGTTTTCTCCCAGTAGCTTTTTATGCCAGAGAAGGCTATTCTGTGAGTTTTGGAGCCTTCGGCCAAGGAGGCCGAAGGCACCCCCAGCGGGTTTTCTGGGCTGCTTCGAGGCTTGGGCCGTTGTATTTGGGCCCGAGTTGTTCCCTGAGCCCAACCGACTTGTGTAGGAGAAGTAGGAGTCTATGGGCCGGGGGTTCCTGGGCCATATACTCCATCAGTCTCCACATGGACGGACAAAAGGGAATCAAGAATTAATTAAATTCAGCGATTAAAAATAAATAAATAAAATGCGTCGTGCGAGATATGATTGGTATGAAAAATTAAAATGCAACAAAACGATTAAAATAAATGGGTTCTCTCTAATTAATGACGAAGGGAATAGGGATTGATTCCGGGGTAACCAGATTTCTGGCAGATCAGGCCTAATTATATGAAATTAATTCAATTGAGCCTAGCTAATCATTACTAAGTTCTTACCGCTCTCGCGGCGTAGAGTACAATAATTTAGGGGACCAGGCTGATCCTAAATTATTGTCAAGACGAGCGAGCTTACGGACCCTTAATCGCTACTAATCTCTTAGCGAACTATTAAGTGTGTGTGAATGTGTCCTAGAATAAACTAGATCTCTCTTAATTTATTCTACAAGCAATTGTAATTCTAGCGCGCGTTCTAGGTTACAAAAGATATCAGTTAAATTATTCAAACACAAATTAAACGGCATTCATGCATATAATCCATCAAGAAACTAGCCATACATCATGATCAACCCCTTCATCAACCCCAATCCCTAATTAAACTACTCACAATTCATAATTGAAGAATCAATAGAATTGGGAATAATAGAATTAATTGTCATTAATTAAAAAGATGGAACTTACAAAGAATACCAAAAGATTAATGAACAAGGCTGAAAAGCCCTCTAAATTTCGTGCTACGCACTCTCTCTAAGCTCCCCCTCCATCACGGGGGTTTACAGGCTGTTTAAATAGAAAAATCGGGTGAAATTTGAGCTGAATTGGGATTTCCGGAGGCAGGCACGATGCCAGGAACGATCGTGCCTTCGATCGTGCCTCCGGAGCAAAAACGCGCATTTTAGGAAGGCACGATCGTGCCTGGCTGGCAGTAACTCCGCGATGCTTTCTCTTCACGCGCGATCGTGCCTGACTTTGAGGGCACGATAGTGCCTACTTAACTTCCGAATTTGGCAATTCTTTCTTCATGAAAGTTGTAGATAATGAAGGCCTCTATCCACCCCAATTTTCCAAATGTGATTTGAATCATCCAATCAACAGATATGATCAAAACGGTGGAATGTATCATTCTGAAATCGCAGCAGAGATCATCTGACTTCATCGTCTGTTTTCACCTTCTATCTCTCAGATTCTCGCATAGGTGTCTTCATATGATTTGTATTCCTTGAAGTTATCTTTCATATGGACTTTGAATCGTGTCCATTGGTGGATTCTACAAAGAGATATGCTTTAACGATTGACAGAAGGTCATCCTGATCGTCGTTTTGTAGCTTCATTCATCTTGTTTTGATCTCATAACCAACCCTAGAGCTCTTTTGTCATCAAATCTTCATCGTAAACCTCCCGCTGACCTCCAAAGCTCTCAATCCACTCTCGAAGACATCTCGAATCATCCCGATTGCTCCTCAAGCACTGGTGCCGAACTCAAAATTCCTGATTTTGACTCCAAATGACACAAAACTCGAACCAACGCCTGGTAAACATAACTTGAGCTAAAATTGAGACTTGTAACACCTTAAAGCTAGGGAAAACCATCAAAGCCGATCAAATTCATGTCTAAATACGGACTTATCACTCTTGTTTGGGGGTTTGAAAAGGATAGCTGTTTCGGAATTCGGTCAGCATATGCCCTACTCAGTGGGCAAGTTAACAAAGAAGAAGGACCAGACTCGAGAGTGGTTTGGCGTGGCCCCAATCGTATCAGGTATTTCCTTTGGCTCGTGGCGCACAACCGACTACTTACCAATGAGGAAACAATATTGCATGTGCTACGAGAGTGTCCTTTTGCAATTACGACCTGGGAGCGTCTTGCCTATCTTTCTGCTGATCGGACGAACTGGGAGGCCCCACTCTTGCCTTGGATCACACACACCCTGAAGGCAACAAGCAATAGTCTTCTTTTCGGGGTGGCCTGCTGGTCTCTATGGAAGGCTAGAAATGAAGCAATATTTTCGGATACCCTCACCACCCCTGAGTCCCTTGTCAAGCGTATTAAACATTGGGCTGAGTCTATTGAGGGAAAATGATGGTGGATGTCTCTTGGCCGCTGCCGCTGCCCTCATGGGTTGCTCTAAATTCTGACGGATTAGTTATTCCTGAGACCGGACGATATGAACGAGCAGCTGCAGGAGGGTTGTTTCGTGATTCTGATGGTCGTGCTTAGCAGTGTACTCGATGAACTTGGGCTTTTGCTCGATAACCAGAGCCGAATTGAGAGCTGCTGAGCAAGGATTATATTTTGTTTCGGAATTCGGATACCGCCAGGTACGCGTGCAGCGAGATTCGCAAACAACTATTCTAATGTTGATTCTAGATTATCGTTACACATTTTGTATGATTTACTTGGGATTTTCCAATCTCGTTTGATCATTAATGATAGATAGGGACTTTGCTCCTACCAAAAAAAGTGTTTGTGTGTAACTCTAGTGTGCATCCAGTTTCTTAGTTTTGCGAGTAGTCGATAGTGAAAATTTTAATATTTTTGGTAAAAGATAAATCTGCTGAGCCGAAAGAGAGACTCCCAAAGGTGGAGATTTTATTACTTACAACATCATTGACATAATTCAACAAAGCTAAGAATGCCATAACCGACCGCAATAGAAGCATAAATTACACAGGAAATTAGAGTTGAGGCTATAAAATAACCATAACATAATACTAGTAATAGAATTAGCTCTAGACTTGGAGAAGCTTGTTGACAATCCGGTAGGAGGCAACAGCATCATACATAACAGCGAGTACTTCCTCCTTCGAGAAGACCCCAGCGTCCCACTTTGGTCGCCGCTTGACTATCTTACCATTACTGGAAGTGGTAGGAGTGAGGTCCACCCCTGTTTTCTTCCCCAGCTTCTTAAACGATTCACACTTGAGAAGCTTGGGATTTTTCAGAGCCCTGGCTGCGTACTCACCGACCTCAACAGCCTTAATCTCCGAGCAGTCACAGCAGTCGGGGTAACCAGCGTTTGGAAACAATGACAGACCACGAGTCCTCTTCAAAAATCCATTCGGACACACAAAAGAAACATCGTTAACACCCAGCAACTTAGCGACTGATCGAAGGGCAGAATCTCGGCGTCTCATGGGATCCAATTGCAGGATTAGGCAGTTGGATCCGGTGCATAGGACCAACAGATCGCATCTTCTGCCCCTTCCGAACAGATTCGAGGATACCTTCACGTCCACCCCAACGATGGGATGTGTTCCGCCGTCTCCGCCGACCCCCAGCTCTGCCAGAGCTGCCGGCACAAGCTTTGCGTCGTCGACCACTCGAGTCTTGACCTCCACGCCGCCGATTTGAAGGTCGTCGTACGTGTTCATTAGCGAAAGGTGGCTTTCTGCTATCATTTTCTTTGATGTCTAGTTCTCTCACTATGCAGTTTCTTCATAGGAGGTTTTATTATTATGATTTCATTCTATTGGTCTTATTTTTTCAACATCAGTCTTCAATAATGAACCTTGGACATTTTCAAAAAGCTGCTTTTTCAAAAAGCATTACGGCAAACCTGCTTTTAGTAAAGCAATAATGTCACTGTCCCGAATTAATAAATGACAATAAATGATCCTTGCTTTTTACAATATTGATCACCTTCCTAAAAATAGATGTCTTATAGTAAATGACAATAAATGATCCTTGCTTTTTACAATATTGATCACCTTCCTAAAAATAGATGTCTTATAGTAAATGGAAAAAGTAAAAGTAAGAGTTTATTTGTCACTTTATTCTTATTTACATGCCTAAAATAGTAAGTGGAAAATCACTTTTGACAACCAAATTAGAAAATTTAATTTTGCAAATCAAATTGGGACGAAGAGAGTATTAAGTGATGATATTTCATTATACTATTTCCGTCCCACAAAATTTGGCCAAAGTTGACTTGCACATAGATTAATAAAGTAGAAACTGTGTGGTTGAAATTTGTGTAGAAAGGAGAGAACTAACTTTAGTCATATATTATTTACTTTAAATGGAAATGACAAATTTTTTTTGCACAACCAAAAAAAGGAAATTTGACCAAGTCTGACGGGATAAAGGGTGTAGTATTTCCATTTTGATTAATGAATCATCTTTATCACAATTTCTAAGTGTTAAAAGTAGAAATATGCAAAACTTAGGGCCTGTTTACTAACAGAAATATTTTCCTGTTTTCTACTTCTGTTTTTTGTTCTCCAATTTTCTGTTTTTATTTTTCAGTTTTTCTATCTCCAATTTTCTGTTTCTATTTTTTAGTTTTCCATTTTCAAATCTGAAAACATGTTCATCAATTTTTTCACCCAGTTCTCCAATTCGACACCCTTGACCCCTACCCTTACCATGATCTTACACTCTACCCATACTCCCCCACAACCCTTCATACCCACCCATACCTACTCGTAAGGGTCGGGTTAGGGAAGTTATGGGTGGGGGTGGGGTAAGGGGTATGGTCGGGATGGGGTGGGGTGGTAAGGTCTAGGGGTAGGGGGTTGGGTGGGGGTAGTTGGTGGGTTAGGGTCGTGGTTTAGGGTAAGGGTGCGGTAGTGAGTAGGGTTTGGGGTAAGGTAAAGGTATGGTATGGAGTTGGGATAGGATGACGGTAGGGTGGGGCCGGGACCAGGGTGGGGCTAAGGTAGGGAAGGGGTAGGGGGTAGTGGGTAGGGTTGGGGTTGGGGTTGGGGTAAGGTAGGGGTAGTGGGATAGGATGGCGATAGGGTGGGCCCGGGATCTGGGTGGGGCCGAGATAGGGGAAGGGTAGGGGTGGGGGTTAGGGAAGTTATGGGTGGGGGTGGGGTAAGGGGTATGGTCGGGATGGGGTGGGGTGGTAAGGTCTAGGGGTAGGGGGTTGGGTGGGGGTAGTTGGTGGGTTAGGGTCGTGGTTTGGGGTAAGGGTGGGGTAGTGAGTAGGGTTTGGGGTAAGGTAAAGGTAGGGTATGGAGTTGGGATAGGATGACGGTAGGGTGGGGACGGGACCAGGGTGGGGCTAAGGTAGGGAAGGGGTAGGGGGTAGTGGGTAGGGTTGGGGTTGGGGTAAGGTAGGGGTAGTGGGATAGGATGGCGATAGGGTGGGCCCGGGATCTGGGTGGGGCCGAGATAGGGGAAGGGTAGGGGTGGGGGTAGGATGGTGGTCGGATGGCGGAAGGGTGGGGATAGGATGGCGGTACGAGGGTGGGGGTAGGATGGCGGTGGGGTGGGGCCGAGGTAGGGGCATGTGGTAAGGGGTAAAGGGTAGGTAATATACGGGTGGGGGGTAGGGTAGGGTGGGTCGGGGTGAGGTCGAGGTAGTAGGGGGTGGCGGTAGGGTGGGCCCGGGATCTGGGTGGGGCCGAGGTAGGGGAAGGGTAGGGTGGGGGGTAGGATGGTGGTAGGATGGCGGAAGGGTGGGGGGAGGATGGCGGTACGAGGGTGGGGGTAGGATGGCGGTGGGGTGGGGCCGAGGTAGGGGCATGTGGTAAGGGGTAAGGGGTAATATACGGGTGGGGGTAGGGTAGGTGGGTCGGGGTGGGGACGGGGGTGGTAGGGGGTGGCGGTAGGGTAGGGTGGATCGGGGTGGGGTAGGGTCATTATAGGGAAAAATGGGTATGCGGGGTTGGGTTGGGTGGGTAAGGTAGGGTAGGGGTAAGGGGTAATGTACGATGATGGAGGTACCGGAATGGAATCGACATTGGAGCGGGACCGGACCCACCACTAGGTGTAAGTATGCAAATTCATTGCAGCGGCACTGTAGCATATGCGTTTTCCAAATTTGGAAGGGAAAACTGTCAAATCAGTCCATCTACTATTTCGAAAAAGTCAATTGAGTCCACGTACTATTTTTTCAATCAATTAAGTCTACCAAGTCTCAAATTTTCACCAATTGGATCATTTAACCGGCTAACTAACCGGTAACCCTTCTAGAGCTGAGGTGGATGCCACTTAAATATTTTGTACTGCTTTTTTATAGTTTTTCCCATTTTTTTCATTTTTTTCCTTTTCTTTCTCCTACTTGTCTCTGCAACTCAGCCCCCTTCCCCATTTCCGTCTCTGCGAACCCCCCTGCTTTATTCCGTATTTTTCTTTTTCCCATTTTCTCTCTGCAACTTCTCCCATCTTCTTCTATCTCTTCTTCTTCCCTACTGCTTCTACCCCACGGCTCCACCTGACCTCCCCCTCCCTTCATTCTTTCCCATCCAGTAGTTCACCCCCATCTAACCTTCTTTCCCTATTTTCTTTTATCCTTTCTCTTCTTCTCCATTCTACTTCTTCTACCTCACCCGACCTTCTATCCCCCCTCTTTCATGGCTAGAGAAGGAGAATATGGAAACCCACCGGAAACCCTTGCTCTTCTTCAATCGCAACAAGACGGCGGTGGTAGAGCTCGACGGCGGTAGCAACAGTAGAGCTCGACGGAGATGGCAGCAGCAGAGCTCGATAGTGAAAGAAAGATGGAAAGCTAGAGGAGGAGAAGGAAGAAAGAGGAGAAGAGAATAAAGAAAGAAAAGAGGAGAAATAAGAAAAAGGGGAGGAGTTGCGGGAATTGGAGAAGGGAGAAGAAGAAAGAATTTAAAAAAAAAAGGAAAAAGATAATCTAATGCCACACGGACGCCTAAAACAAGGGAAAAAGAAGCGCTGACAAGGAAAAAAAGCCATGTGAAAGATACACGTAGGCGGATTAACAGGGAAACCGACCCATTACTGGAGGAAAGGCAGATTTGGTCATTTTTGAGGACTTGGTAGACTTAATTGATTGAAAAAATAGTATGTGGACTCAATTGACTTTTTCGAAATAGTAGGTGGACTGATTTGACAGTTTTCCCAATTTGGAAAACTAGTAAAAGTCACTTCTCCAAATTATTAAGGAAAAGAGAGACATGTCTCATTTTTTCCGTTTTGGAAAACGATTTGGTAAACGCGTTTTTCTTTTTTCCTTTCTCCAGTTTTCCAGGAATTTCTTTGGTAAACACATTTCCTGTTTTCTGTTTTCCAGTTTTCCAGTTTTCTGGAAAACTGGAAAATATCTCTGTTAGTAAACAGGCCCTTAGGGTTTTTTCTACTTTGTATGCAATAGTGCTGAATGCTCATTTGCTTATAGACGTTATAGTTTTTACAGCTAAAGAAATATGTACAATGATTGTTTATTCTTTTCACAAGTTCATGATATTGTTTTTATTTTTTTGGTATATTTTTTCAGTGAATGGAAAGTGTATGTCAGGCTAAATTTTGCAAACGTATTCCGGCAACCTCTTCACTTATCAACCACACTAGTTATTCGATCACGCGATGCGCGAGGAGTAATGCCCAATTTCGGTTTCCGTATAGACATTCATTTTTATAATACATCATAAGAGTGTGTTGAAACGTCATACTTAAAAGTGAAACTTTAGGGAAATGTAATATGTTTTTTAAAAGAGTGGGGAGAATCATGTCAATATATTATTATTTAGTGGTGAAAGTGGAATGAAAGTGTGATTATTGAAAATGAAATTATGTACTAACAAATATTCAAGGCGAGAAATATTGTTTTCGTGGAGTAAAATACAATAGATGAGCTAAGAGCTAATAAGATATCACATGGGGTTGAAAGTTCTTGTGGAGGGTACGTAGATATAAGAGGAAAATTGGTGCCCTTCAGAAAATGGTTTAGGAAAAATGGTGCCCTACTTCTCGATGTTGAAATACCGAGAACCTACTTCTCGAAGTTGAAATACCGAGAAGAGGTTCTCGATATTTAAACATCGAGAAAGGGAGTTCTCGAAGTTTAAGCCTCGAGAAGGACTTTCGATGTTTAAACCTCGAGAACCCACTTCTCGCAGTTCAAACCTCGAGAAGCTGGTTCTCGTGGTTTACACTTACAATGATTTCGAGGTCCCACCTGTACACATCTGATCTGGAAAATTGCAAAAATAGAACAAAAATAAAGTTTTCAAATAAACAATTGTGCTGACCCAATTCTTTCAATCAATCATGTCAGGAACAGACAGAAGTGCACAACCGAGCAATGAACGATACCCTAAGGAGAACTGGGTCTCACTTTATGATAACAACTTTCAGCTGGACCTGAAGCTTTGCAAATGTCAGGACCCAGTCATCCTCTCCATTATCCAGAAGCACTATCTCTGGCTTGCATTCAGTGAAGCCAAACCTATGCCAGATGTATACTTACAACAGTTCTGGGGCTTGATGCACACTGCCTCAGAGAAAGATAGGTCAAAGATAGTGACCAAGCTCAACGACAAAAGAGTGGTGCTGACACCTCTACTATTAAGGAGACTCTGAAACTCCCGGTGCTCCAGAACTATGCACCGCTTCCCTCAAACGAAGAGCTAATAAAGGGGATGAAAGATCTGGGGTATTTCGGCCCGCTGCCCCTGCTATCCAACTTTGCCATCTCCAACCTGCCCCACCCGTGGAAGAGTCTGTTCGACCTGATCAATAAGTGCCCGTCTTCTAAGCACGCCGGACACGACAAATGCAACAAGCAGATCCTGTAAATCTTCCACGGGATCGCCTTCGATAAGCAATACGACATGGCACAGCTCTTCTGGACAGAGCTGATAGACCAAGTGAAAATAAAGGAAGGAAACAACGGAAGTACCATCCCTTACGCTCGGTGGCTGGCACTGATAAAGTGATAATCCACAACATTATGGAAGCCACCCCAACAATGCCAAAGCGTAAGGGAGACGAACAATTCACTGCTCCCAAGTTGCGATACTTTCAAAGAGACAACAATAAAGCAGAAGCACTGCCTATCTCGGACTCCCTACTTGATCTTGCAAACCTCAGCTGGATGAATAGTTGGGATAAGGCAGTCATTGACTACAAAGAGTCGCTCAAGAGAACAGTCCCTATGGTTCAGCAAAACTCAGCTGGACCTTCCCAAGGGATTAAGCCGAGTGAGGGTAAGAAAAGGAAGAGAGCCACCCAGCCACATAAATCAGTGGCAACCCGGCCTAATGATGATCGGTCTGCTAACTCTTCCGAGAGGACGCAGACTTCTCAATTTGCCTCTTTGAGAAGAAGAGACAAGATGCTACAGTGGTTTGGAGTCTTTATTCTACTCCCTCCATCCCTAAAAAACTTCCAAATAGGTTTGGCACACAGTTTAAGATAGTAGGTATTGTGTGGTGGAGAGTTGTGCAGATGAGAGAGAAATGTGTAAGAATTGTTGTGAACCACAAATTCTGGCCAAAAAGGGAAAATGGAAGTTTTAATTGGGACTGACGAAAAAGGAAAATTGGAAGTTTATTTAGGGACGGAGGGAGTATATCTCTAAGGTATGAGTGAGGGAGCTAGCGATATTGTGTGGCTAGTTGGGGAGGGAGAGGGGGGAGGGGAATTGAAGTTGATAATATCATACAAGCATAGTTGGAATTGTATAATAACCCAATTGAGTGTAAAGGGGCAATCATAAGTAATATTCATCCTACCAATGGAACCAGATAACCAACTCAAGTATCCTACATGATCTTCACTTCTAGTGTGCGACCAGTTTATTAGTTTTGTGAGTAGCCGATAGAGAGCTTTTAATATTTGGTACAAGATACGATAGTACATCTGATTAGCCGAAAGAGCGACTACCACACAGATTTCATTACTTACAACATCATACATAATTCAACAAAGCTAAGAATGCCATAACCCACCAAATAGAAGCATAAACTACACATGATATTGGAGTTGAGCTTATAAAATAGCCATAACATAATAATGACAAATACGGAGTAGATAGAAGCAGTTTTAGACTTCCCGTACGTGCACCCAGCTAATTAAAGGAAACTTAAAAGTACTGGAAATTGGTGGCTGGGAAAAGCCAGATAAGATCCTGAGATTTATTACTCATGGAGACTGAAGAAGCTTGTGGACAATACGATAGCAGGCAGCAGCATCATGCATAACAGAGAGAACTTCCTCATCGGAGAAAACCTCAGCGTCCCACTTTGGTCGCCGTTTGACCATTTTTCCATTATCTGAATTCCCAGTAGTGAGGTCCACCCCTGCTTCCTTCCCCAGTTTACTGAACGACTCACACTTGAGAAGCTTGGGGTTTCTCAGAGCCCTGGCGGCGTAATATCCGACCTCAACGGCCCCAATCTCCGAGCAGTCAAAGGACGCGTTTCGGGTTGTTTTCCGGAAACGCCCGTACGTCGTAATGGTGTGATTAGCGTATACAAACAGCGGTAGACCACGAGTCCTCTTTCTAAATCCATTGGGACACACGAAAGAAACATCCTTAAAGCTCAGGAAATCAGTGACGGTTTGAGAGTCAGAATCAAGGCAGAATCTCATGGGATCCAATCGAAGAATTAGGCAGTTGGATCTGGTGCATAGGATCAACAGATCGCATCTTTTGCCCCTTCCGAACAGATTCGAGGATACCTTCACGTCCACCCCGACGATGGGATGTGCTCCGCCGTCGCCGACGCCGCCGACCCCCAGCTCTGCCAGAGCTGCCGGCACAAGCTTTGTGTCGTCGACCACTCGAGTTTTGACATCCACGCCGCCGATTTGAACGTTGTATGTGTTAATTTTCGAAAGGTGGCTTTCCGCTATCATTTTCTTTTTCTTTGATATCTCACTCTCTGCAGTTTCTTCACACGAGGTTTAATTAATATGATTCCATTGGTCTTATTTCTTCATCTGCAGTCCTCAATAATGAATCTTGGATATTTACAAAAAAACTTGCTTTTTCAAAAAGCTTTACGAAAAAGCTGCTTTCGGTAAAAGCAATCTAATGCATTGTACAGTGTTCATTGGATAGTGGCTGGTTTGTTTTCTAGCTGGTTAATGTACTTCAAATGAGTTAGGGTCCGTTTGCAACGGCTTCTACTTTTAAAAAGGTGCTTTTTTTAATGAAATGAGGAGAAGTGATTAAATAAAAGTTGATAGTGTTTGAGAAAAAAGTGATTTTGAAAGGTAAAAGTGGGTAGTGTTTGGTAAAATAAGTGTTTTTTGTGTAATAGAAAAGTAAAAGCACTATTGACGCGGAAGTCGAGAAAAATAAAAGTTGTAGCTTAAAATATCTGGGAAGTGCTCTCAGCGTATATACAGAAGTGTTCTCAAAGTTGTAGCGAAAAAAACCAAAAGCTGAGAAGTGCTTTTTCAAAAGTAGTTGTAAACCAACCCTTAGAGCATCTCCAATGCAAGGGTGTGGTCTCTTACACACCCTTACACATGGGTCCCATTTTTTATCTCACAAATTTTATGTGTAGGACCCACATATTTCCCAATTTATTTTCATTTTCATTTTTTTATATCACTTTTAACCCACTTTTCATCAACTTTTCCTCCTCGAATCCCGTGTAAGGTTCATATATGGACCTTGTCATAGACCTTGGTCCATTTTTACCTCTATCTCTCTCCTCTTTTTCATTTTTCCCTACACACCACTTCATCCCAATATTTATTCTATCTCTATCTCTCTCCTATGCCACATCAGATGCAATGCACCCTCCCATTGGAGATGCTCTTAGCGTATTGAACAAAACGCTATTTACCAAACGGAGTCAGTAACTTGGATTGGATGATCGGATCTCTTGCACGAGAGCATCAGACGGGCGGGTCTGGAATCCGTATCGATCAAGTGTGATAAATATTTAAATAGAAATCCATTCATCTTTCGATTTATTTAGAACTCCTTTAGTAACTCCTAGTTTAAGAGTTACTAATCATCTTTTTCATAAATAACATAACTTTTGAACTCTGCACTAAAATGTGTCATAAAAAATGGTTGTACTTATTTTTAGCTAAAGCTACTATAGATGACTGTTTTAACCAAAATTACTGTAAATGACTATTTTAGCTATTTTTACATATAATTTCTTATTTATTTTATTAATAAAATATATTTTAGATTTTTTTTTTCATAAATCAGCATAATCAGGGTTGGTTTGTAACTCTTTTTAAAAAAACACTTCTCAGCTTTTGGCTTTAAAAAAGTACTTATTTTCCAAACACTACAACTTTTATTTTTCTCGGCTTCCGCGTCAAAAGTGCTTTTACTTTTTCTATTACACAAAAAACACTTATTTTACTAAACACTACCCACTTTTACTTTTCAAAATCACTTTTTTTTCAAACACTATCAACTTTTATTTAATCACTTCTCCCAAATTTATTAAAAAAAACACTTTTTTAAAAGTCAAAAGCTGTTGCAAACAGACCCTCAACCAATAGTCACTTCAACCAAAGCATCATAAACTTCTGCAGATTCAACCGATTTCACTGTTACCAAACAGGGTCTAAGTTTATTAGCTTTATCGATCACTACTTTTATCATATATTCTCTCTGTTCCTAGTGAAACTTACATGCTACATATGACATGAAGATTATGATAGTCGATATTATGTACTACCTCCGTCCCGCTAAGATTGTCTTATTTACCATTTTGGTCTGTCTTTCTAAGATTGTCTCATACCTTATTTGATAAAGTTTGTGTTGCTCTAAATCATTCTTACTTTATAATTACTTTATGAATTCATATCAACCACATAAACACTTTTTATATATTTGTGTGTCACTCTCCCTTGTTCCCTTTTTAGTGGGACGGAGGGAGTAGTAGTGAATTGTGTAGAGTAGAAAGAAATGTGTAACAAATATTGTGAACTACAAATTCTTTATCAAAGAGGAAAAGTGGAAATTTAATTGGGATGGACGAAAAAGGAAAATTGAATACTCTCTCCGTCCCGCTAAGAAGTTCTCGTTATCCATTTTTAGCAGTTCCAAAAAGAAGTTTCACTTTCCTTAAATGACAAGTTATCTACATCCAAACAGTGCAAAACAGTATCAAAGAGTGTCAAAACAGTAAAATTTACCCCTTGTAAGTTTATTTACTTAATATGTGTGTAAGTCAAAACGAGAATTTTTTAGCGGGACGGAGGGAGTATGATTCATGGGTGGGGGGGGTACGTATTTTTATATCACCCATTGAATTGTGTAGAGAAAGAAACTACGTAAGTAAGATTATAATTACTTTTCTATCTAGATTGACTACATTTACTGCAGATGACCATTTTAACTACTCCGTCCCATTTAAATTTTTACATTTTCGTTTTTGGGATGTCCCTTTTATTCCTTTACGTTTCCTTTTAGGCAACTCCTTTTACATTAAATGTCTTAACTACCCTTCACTACTCACCCACATTTACATTTGAGTGCATAACATTAATTATTCTTCCTAAAAGTCAAGGGGCATGCAAGACATTTGTTCTAATTATTTGAGCTCCTAAAATACCATGCCACAAGCAAACATTAAGTTATATCCAGGACGGAGGGAGTGTTTTTTATACTAAGAATAATTCTTTCTTTATTCTATTAGTGAAGTACTCCGTATGTTTTAAGTAGTACGTAGTCGTATAACTTTTTCAATTTCTTCAATTTCAAGAAACTCAATCAATCTAGACGATTTCATTGTATCTAATGAGTTCTTAATCATAATCTAGTCTTATAAAATTTTAGTATATTTTCTTTTTAATTTTTGTTGCTCGGATTTTTGGTTTGTTCATCTTAGATGAGAATGGGGATCTCCTCAGTTTCAAATTTTTCATCGGGGGATTAGGTTTTCAAATTTTTTGGAGTACCGAACCAAGGTAGTGGACCTCTAATCCAAATGGTGGCACTATGTGTTAGTATAAACTTCCCCCGTCTCACAAAACTTGGTCAAACTTCGACTTGCACATAGATTAATAAAGAAAAACTATGTAACTATGAAAATGAAATTTGTATAGAGGGAGAGAAATAATTTAAGTCATATATTTCTTACTTTAAATGGAAATGAAAATGTTTTTTTAGAGCAAAAAAAATTGGCCAAGTTTTATGAAACGGAGGGAATATGTCATTGCCACAATCATTTTTAGAGTACCTTTGTCTCTATGCCTTCCAAAGAGATACTCTCTTTGTATTTAAAGGTTTAATGCACCAAACCCCCCTGTGATTTGGAAATTCAGCGCATTAGCCCCCTGTGATTTAAAAAATGCGTCAAACCCCTCTGTGTTTTAATTAATCATGCACAGAACCCCCTTTATGAATAAATTTAACGATTTGAAAATCACTTTTCCTAATATTTTGATTGAATATGCAAATAAATATGTCAAAATCTCTGAATCATACAAAAATGTTAATCATTTTTCTTTTATTTGACAATTGAATTTGTTCACATAAGGGATTTGGCGCATGATTAATTAAAACACAGGGGGGTTTGACGCATTTTTTAAATCACAGGGGGCTAATGCGCCGAATTTTCAAATCACAGGGGGGTTTGGTGCATTAAACCCATTTAAAGGTTCCCTACATATTACTTTTTGAGTTGTATTTAAAAGTTCTTTATACTCTGTATTTAAAGGTTTCTTACATATTCATTTTAGCGGTCGTATTATAATAGTTCAATCATTTCATTATTCATGAATAATTCAACCTTTGCACCTCATCTTCATAATAGTTCCAGTTTTTCATTTTCTTTGATGTGTAGTTCTCTCATTCTGCAGTTTCTTCACACGAGGTTTAATTAATATGATTCCATTGGTCTTATTTTTTCATCTGCAGTCTTCAATAATGAATCTTGGATATTATCTAAAAAGTAAAAACTTGCTTTTTCAAAAAGCTTTACGGAAAAGCTGCTTTTAGTAAAGCAATCTAATGCATTGTACAGTGTTCATAGGATAGTAGTTGGTTTGTTTTCTAGCGGGTTGACGTCTACCTGCTACCCGCTGCAAAATGCAGCGTTTAATTTGTACTTCAAATGAGTTAGCGGATTGGATAAAAAGCTATTTACCAAACGGAGTCAGTAACTTGGATTGGAAGATCGGATAAGAGCATGAGAGCATCAGACGACGGGCGGGTCTGGAATCCGTATCGATCAAGTGTGATAAATATTTAAATAGAAATCCATTCATCTTTCGATTTATTTAGAACTCGTTTAGTAACTCGTAGTTTAAGAGCTCCTTTGGTAACACAGTTTTTTCCGTTGTCAAGATTACTAATCAACTTTTTCACCAAACACGTAACTTTTGAACTCGTGCATTAAAATGTGTAATAAAAAAAGGTTGTTGTTACTTTTCTTAATGTATTAGCTAAAGTTACTGTAGATGCATGACTATTTTAATTATTTTTACATATAATTTCTTCTTTATTTTATTAATAAAATATATTTTAAATTTATTTTTTTCATAAATCAGCAGAATCAACCAATAATCACTTCAACAAAAACTTCATAAACTTCAGCAGATTCAGCCGATTTCACTGTTACCAAACAGACTCTAAGTTTATTAATTTTATCGATCACTACTTTTATCATATATTCCCTCTGTTCCTAGTAAAACTTACATGCTACATATGACATGAAGATTAAGATAGTGGATATTATGTAGTACCTCTGTCCTGCTAAGATTGTCTTATTTTACCATTATGGTCAGTCATACTAAGATTGTCTCATACCTTATTTAGTAAAGTTTGTGTGACTCTTAATCATTCTTACTTTATTCTTACTTTATGAATTCAAATCAACCAAATAAACATTTTTTATAGATTTGCGTGTCACTCTCTCTTGTCCCATTTTTAGTGGGATAGTGGTAGTAGTAGTGAATTGTGTAGAGTAGAGAGAAATGTGTAACAAATATTGTGAAGTATAAATTCTTTATTAAAGGGGAAAAGTGGAAATTTAATTGGGAT